CACGAGAGCTGGAAGTGTGTAGCAGCAGGCGGCAATATGATTGAGCTCTCAGGCAGAGACATCACTGGGCACGGCAAACTAGACATGACTATGTTTGGGGGAAATCGTGGATTCCACGGAATCAACATACCCACCCTGATTACTCAAAAGCCATCGCTAGCTCCCAGGTAGGCTTTTCTTCTTGCTAATACAGGGCCTTGGCCATCTCCCTTTGAGTCTACACAGCTGACCACGTACGGCAGGTTTCTGAAAGACACAATGGACTTGTACACAGGCGGGTCGATCAAGCCAATTAGCCCGATCAAAGTATATACGCCAAGCAACATTAAGCAAGCGTTCCACCAACTCCAAAACGACAGCGACCAGATTGGTTCTGTGGTTCTAGAGTTCTCCAACGAACCGCAGAGTCTGATAGTAGCCGAATCCTGTAGCTACGCGATTCAGTTTCGAAAGGACCGAGCCTATGTCTTGATTGGAGGCTTGGGCGGCTTGGGCAGATCGGCCGCAGTTTGGCTCGCTGAAAGGGGGGCCGGCTGTATTATCTTCCTGTCGCGCTCGGCTTCCGCTGGTGCGGATACCCGGTCTTTGATACAGGAGCTGAAGGTATTGGGTTGCGAGACTCAAATTGCGACTGGGAGCGTGACAGATACGACGGCGGTGGACAGACTGGTAGCGAACGCAGCAAAGCCCATTGCCGGAGTGCTACATTTAGCCCTAGTTCTCAAGGTGAGTACTGCAAGTGCTATTTTGAAGAAACAAATTCAACACCAGGACTTGATACTAAGCAACGCACGTAGGACGAAGCGCTACTTGACATGACGTTCGACAGTTGGCGAGCCGCGACCGAGGCAAAGGTGCAAGGCACTTGGAACTTGCATCACGCCCTAGAGAGTCAGCCATTGGAATTCTTCGTCCTAGCTAGTTCCATCTACGGTATCCAGGGCAATCCGAATCAGGCCAATTACGCGGCAGCCAGCACGTTCCTCGACGCCTTCGTACAGTTCCGACAGAAGCTGGGCTTGCCGGCTTCAGTTATCGACCTGGGGGTCATGGCGGATGTCGGTTATGTCAGCGAGCGCCCGGCCATTTTGGAGAGCCTCAGACGCGCAGGAGCCCAGTTGCTAGGCGAGAACGACTTCCTGAGGTCTTTACAGTTGGGAATCCGTGCCTCGTCTGCGCCCGCACCTCTACTCCCGACCGACTTGACCTCTGGCTATGTGAACCGGGCCCAGTTCGTCGTTGGAATCGGTCAACACCCTCCGGATGCTCGTGGTCTGGGGTTGAAGAGAGTGAAGGACAGCCCTCAAGGACCGGGGAAGCGTGCTAACGCACAAGACGGCACGGGAGAGGATGAGGGCGACAAACTGCGACAGTTTCTGGAGGGGGCGAAGCGCGATCCAAGCTCGTTGAAGGACGAAATGGGAGTCACGCAATTCCTGGCGGCGCAAGTGGCCGAGTGCCTGAAGGGATTGTTGATCTTTGGCGATAACTCGAGCCTGGACCTTGGGCTCGGTCTGGCGGATTTGGGCGTCGATTCGCTCGTTGCCATTGAATTGCAAAGCTGGTGGATCCAAAGTTTTGCTACGCACATTACCATCCTAGAGCTGACCAAGAGCGCCTCCATCGTAGCTTTAGGTCAGCTAGCCAGGTGCCGCATGCTAGAAACGTTCCATGGACACACTCCAGAATTGGTCGCGCCATAAGTTCAAGATAGGGACACTGCACAAAATCGATTTGCGTGTAGAAGAACACAGATTATGATAAAAGGAATCTCAGGTTATGGTCCCTTTGTCGGTACGTTTGGATTTGGCGTTTCATACTCTCCTAGTGGGCAGGTTTTATTCACTCATTCTTTATCCTTTGCAATTCGAATACAATATAGAAAACCGAATAGAACTTTGAGAAACACTATGGTGAAATCCTGTTGTGCCTTGTTTATTGTATCAAACTGAAAGATACGGCGCCCAACAGAAGTGTTGATGATGTAGTTTGATCGTGCCTTACCTTGTGTAATAGTGGTGCCAGCCATTGCATCCACCTGCCTTAGAACACTATACGGGCACTTTTACCTATCTGGGAATGCCAAGATGTAAGATACCTGTTGTAGTTCTCTTTTGCAGGGCAGGTCGACCCGAACGCAAGATGTATCATCCAATCAGGTAACTGGTAATCATTTGCGATAGTTGAGACTGTTGACAAGGCTACTTATGTATCAATATAATTTTGCGTAGTATAACTAGCAAGTTAGCAGCTCTATCTAAGCGGAGTGCTATGTTTCGGACGGGAAACAAAATGGGACAACACAAAGCATCTTGGGAAACGTCGACGAACGGGAAGGTGCCTTTAGACACCAACGGGAAAGTGTCTCTGGACACTACCGAAGACCAAAAGACTGATTATTCAAAATGGCGGTTGATTGACGACCAGGGCCGCCAATCATGGCGCTATCTCGAGTCTGACGAGGAGGCGGCAAAATGGCCACAGACGACGGCTGAGAAGCATTTTCTTGGTTTAAACATTGTTAGTAGAAACCAAATCCTATCTCTCCTCCACTTACGGTCCAAGCCGTAGTAAATTTAGATGTTTGTTGCTGATGGCTGATACAACCTTCAGGACTTGCCAGACGTACCCAAGGCGCAAACACCGTTGCAGGCCGCTCAAGGGGCCATGTCGTATCTCAGCCAACTACAGATGGCTTCGGGGCAGTGGGCGAGCGAGTGCACTGGGCCCAACTTCATTCTGCCCTGTGTAGTCCTGGCTGGGTACGTGACGGGCACTCCCCTTCCCGCTGGGTATGCTGTCGAGATCCGGCGGTACCTCTTTGCCAGCCAACGCGTGGCTGATGGAGGCTGGGGATGGCATGCCGAGGCAGACAGTAGCTCAGCCATTGCCACCGCCCTCAACTACGTCGTCCTGCGGCTACTGGGGGCGAGTAGAAATGACCCGCGCCTAGTCAGGGCCCGGGAGCTGCTGCACACGTTCGGTGGAGCTACACACGTCCCGGGTATCGGCAAATTCTGGCTCTGCGTCCTCGGTGTCATGAAATGGGAATGCGTCAATCCTTTCCTACCCGAGATGTGGTAAGTAACGCTCTGTCCTGCACGGGTCAATACTCTACTCCTTATGGATGGATGTATAGATGGAATACATAAGTAGCGGTTCCATCAGTCATGCAAACCCCAGGCTAATCAGTGTTGGCATGTCAGGCTCTCGTCCGACTCGGACCCCGCTGCACCGAGCAAATGGTATCTCCATACGCGGACTAACTTCACCTCCATGTCCTATGTGTGGTCCAAGCAGTGGAGTTATGGCGGGGATGCCGTCACCGAGCAGCTCAAAGCCGAGCTCTACACGCAGCCCTACGACACCATCAATTTCGCAGCCCACCGTAGTTCCCTCGCTGCCGTGGACAACAACTATCCAAAATGGTGGGTCGTAAACCTCATGAACTGGTTGACCGTTGCTGTCTACCTCCCGTACATGCGCAAGCCCACCACCGCATATAGCGGCGAGCGCAAGGTCTGGGACCTCATCGTGGCCGAAGACAAAAACACCGAGTACATTGGGCTCTCTCCCATCAGCAAGGCCGGGAACCTCGTCGCCAGCTACATCGAGGAGGGGCCTCACGGGAGCTCTGTCCGCGCCCATCGGCAAACCATGACGCAGTACTTCTGGATGACCAACGACGGCATGGCCTGCAACCTCTCGGACGGTATCCAGGTCTGGGACACGTCACTAGCGGTGCAGGCCCTCAGTGCGGCGGGTGCGGGCACTGATCCCAAGTTCCACTCGACGCTCATCAGGGCCCATGTCTTCCTGAAGGACCATCAGTTGTTGGAAGATGTACCGGACCAGGAGAAGTGCTACCGATGGCCCCGCAAAGGCGGATGGCCGTTCAGCACCAGGTACCAGGGCTACATGATTAGCGAGTGCACTGGCGAGGGCCTCCGATCCATCATGCAGCTTCAAGAGATGAGCTATTTGGATCTGGCCCAGCCGGTATCTGAGCAAAGGCTACGCGACGCGGTCGACTGTCTGCTCAACTTGCAGAACGACACGGGCGGCTTCGGAGTTTACGAGAAGCGAACAGGTTCGCCCAAACTCGCATGGCTGGAGATGGGGGAGTTTGTGGGCAAGACCATGGTTACATACGACTTTGTCGAGTGCACCACGGCCGCAGTATCCGCCCTTTTGGCCTTTAGCAAGCTGTACCCTGATTACCGCGCCGCTGAAATTGAGAGCACGACAGTGCAGGGACTGTCCTTTATCAAGAAATCCCAAAAGCCCGACGGTGGCTGGCATGGTGCCTGGGGCGTCTCTTTCACCTATGCCGGAATGTTTGCGCTCGAAACCCTGGCCCTCGCGGGAGAGATTTACACGACCAGTGAGGCTTCGCGTCGCGGATGCGACTTTCTCGTGGGCAAGCAAAAGGCTGATGGGGGCTGGGGAGAGTCCTATCTGAGCTTGCAGCGCGAAGAGTACGTTCAGCATCAAGAGTCCCAGGTGGTGCAGACGGCCTGGGTCTGCATGGCGCTGATGCTCGCCGGATACCCTGACGTTGAGCCTGTAAAACGTGGACTGAGACTGATCATGTCTCGACAGCAGTCCAAAGGGCAATGGCATCAAGAGGCACTCGAGGGCGGTGTCGGGGATGGGTGAGTATTTGCTTCTTACCTCTGTTCATTTTGCCAAGATCGGACAACTAACATGCTCGACAGGGTTATATCTTATTCTAATTACAAGCTTTACTGGCCGATTCGAGCTTTGGCTGAATATGCAAACAGGTTTGGAGACGGGACGCTGTGAGAAAATTAGGCACGAGGCACGGTGTTGTTATCACTTTGAATCACCTTTGAAGGATGGAAGTAGATTGTTGATGCCATCTCTATTGCCTCATGTCGTTGATATGCGATGAAAAAAAGAACAAATAACCTCAACCAGCAAGCTTACCTAGAGGGTACATCACAGATGAGATTGACGATATTGCAGATACTACTCTACTAGGCAACAATCAAAGCGGCCAGTGTCTTTTCGGCCATCCCAGCAGCATCCCAGGTCCAGTAAGAGTGTTGCATCTTGACGACATCGCTATTTTGACCCGTATTTGAAGCAGCTCTTCTTTCCGAGTCTCTGGCCGCCTGTGCGTCGCCATCCCGGAGGTGTAGTTGCTCCCTTGCACGGTACGTAGCCGCTTGGATATGATCCACCCTCTCCTTGCGAGATGATTCGTATGCCCGTAATGCTAAAGGCAGCTGCTGTCGATTCTCAATCAACGAGAGTACTGTGGCAATAGCAGTCGCATCCTCGACCGCCTGGGCAACTCCCTGGCCGAGATACGGACTAATCAGGGTACATGTTAGTTACGGTCAAGAACCGGTACAGGTAGTGATAAGGGGCGAGACTGACAGCATTGCGTGGCACGCATCCCCAAGAAGAACGGTCGATCCTTTGACCCAAATAGGCGCCGGAGGATATATGAACATCCGAAAGTTGGGTACTTCAGGCGGAGCAAGTGCCACCAGTTTGAGAAGCGTTGGATCCCATCCCTGGTAATCCGCCAGCACATTTTGCTTGTCCGTCACCGATGTCCACGATTCTTCTGCGTCGCCATTGTCTGGATGGATGAGAACGACATTGAGCAGTCGGTGGTTATGCACTGGATATGCGACCACATGGCGGGAAGGCCCGTCCCACCTGGTGGCCCAGGGCCGTTGTACGAGCTCCTGCAACCTTGGGTCGGATTCCAGCAAGTCACGCGAGAGGGTAAATCTATACGCAGCCTCACCTGTGGGCAATGGTACAACGGCTTCAGGTGGGCAAACCCTGGCCTTCAAAGTGGATTTCACGCCGTCCGCTGCGATGATCAAGTCACCCGCCACGCGTTGTCCATCAGAGAGCACAGCGATAGTGGTTTCAATATCAACATCCACCACCCTCGCTCCTAGTCGAATCTCAACATTTTCCAGCTCTTGAGCGCGCGCAAGAAGCGCCAGTTGCATATCCCCGTGGTGCACAGCGTTCTGCTTCCCTACTGGGTTTGCCGCGGTCTGAGTGATCAACTCCCCAGTATCCCACTTGGTGATCTCGATGCCGTCTAAGGGGACACATGCGGTGTCATTCGCTTGGAGCACTCCTTCAGCTATTTTACAGCTTCATCAGTCTTTGAAGCAGGCTTTGCTTTAGCAGCACGGGGCAATCTACCTACATTCATACCATTGCCGCGTGGTTGGTGGCAATGCCACTCCTGCACCAACGTGAGATAGCTGGACGTTGATTAGCGCACGAAGCAGCTAGAATGAGTAGTCCAGTAAAATAGCAATCGCCTACCTCAAACGTCGACTCAAGCACTAGCACGGAATGTCCGCGGTTCCCAAGCGCGACGGCCGCTGACAGGCCTCCGATGCCTTTGGTCCAAATATTTAGATCTTGACCTCGTTACTTGGCTGACCAAAAGTCAAATCCGCTTACCTGCTCTGTATGGGAGTTTTGTTAGTCAGTCCATTATAGTAGAGAGTCAGAAAACAAGTAGAAAGTCTCTTCGTACCCGACAATCACTACATGGAGCGGGACTCGGCAAATTGGCTTCGTGGTCGACATGACTATTGACGCAGTACTAAGAGATTTTAGATTGGTACCTTCCAAAGTACGTGATGATGACCTCTGAAGTGAGTCGCATATATGGCCAAACAATGATAAGATATATGCATGAAATTCTTCCGTTTCTTCTATGCGTTAAGTTCAAACATTGACGTTGTGAATAGATTGCCAATATGCGACCAGTGTCGTGTCGAGTTAACGAGTGGACCTAACTCGCCTAGAACTGCCCCAGACACTCCTCATCAGCAAAAGTGGAATAGACTATCAACGACTATCACCTGAGCATGCGATGATGATACCTTAGATTCTGCAAATGTCAGTCAGATTACCCAATCGCTTTTTCTAAAAATTTTACTCTTGAACGGGCCCATGATATATAGTCGTGGGTTTTATGAGGTATACTATCCTCGTAAAGAAATGGGTCAAAGTGTTTCCCATTTTCCTATCTGCCAATTCAATACGCCAAGCGACAAATCATGGGAGACTTCGAGAAGAGTCATGACTTCAAGGTAGTCATAGTGGGGGGGTCTGTGGCAGGCCTAGTTCTTGCCCATAGCTTGCACAAGGCCGGGATCGATTACATCGTCCTTGAAGGTCGCGACCATATCGACCCACAAATTGGTGCTTCCATCGGCCTTTTTTCCAACGGCTCCCGCATCCTCGATCAATTGGGCGTCTTCGAAAGCATCCTCGAGTGTACGGAGCCATTGAAATGGTACGACATGCTCACCGGGCAGGGAGATCTGGTACGGCGTGATGATTCCCTGCAGTTGATCGAGGCACGGTACGTCATATGATCTGTGCAAACACTACATAAGCATTTTTGAGCTGAGATATATCGTAGTACGGGTTATCCTGTGACGTTTCTCGAGCGGCGGCAGGTCCTCCAGAAGCTCCATCAACTCTCCCCGGACCAGAGCAAGATTCTCACTGGCAAAAAGGTCGTGTCTGTTCGCACCCTACCGGATGGTGTTGAAGTAAATTGTGCAGATGGCTCCATATTCACTGGAGATATAGTGGCGGGAGCCGATGGTGTGCATAGTCGAATCCGCCGTGAGATGTGGCGCCACGCCAAAAGCGACGATGCCCTCAAACACCTAAAGGATGATGAAAAGGGTAAGCTACTGGTTCCCCATACGCAATCAGATGGAGATATCAGCCGATAACAAGTCTGTAGCGATGTTCGCCGATTACAGGTGTCTTTACGGCATGTCTTCCCCTGTACCAGGCTTGCGGGAAACGAGCATTTACCGTACTTTCAACAAGGACTGGTCCTTTCTGGTGGTTGTCGGAAAACACGAGTGCTGCTTCTGGTTTGTATTTGAGAAGCTAAGTAGAACACATAGACTGCCGGATCTGCCAAGATACACGGAATCTGATCAGGACGAGTTCGTGAAGCCGTTCATGAATCGCCATGTCTCCCAGGATGTAAATTTTGGAGCTCTCTGGCATCGAAAGATAGCAGCCACTTTGGCGGCATTGGAGGAGGCGCAATATAACCATTGGACATATGGACGCTTTGTCTGCCTAGGCGACTCCATACACAAGATGACACCAAACATGTAGGACATCCTGAATCTCCCCCTGTTCAACTACCGAAGACAATCATTGACATGAGAGGCAATATAGTGGCCAAGGTGGCAATTGGGCTATCGAGAGCGCTGCTGCTCTAACAAATAAGCTGCGTGCAATGATGAGCACAACACAAAGACCATCGTTCGGGCAGATCTGTGACACGCTGAGTGACTACGAGCAGAGCCGGCAAATTCGCACCAAGGAGGTGTGCGCAATGGCCGGTTTTGCCACCCGTCTTGAAGCATTCGACAAGTTCTGGCACAAACCAATGGCGTTGTATGTTGTACCACGGGCAGGCGACATGCTCGTAGATGTTCATTGCCAGTCAGTCGCAGGAGCACACATGTTAGATTTCCTTCCGCCGCCGGAGCTGTCGCTGAAGCAGGACACCATCTTCCAGGCAGTAGAGTTTGACCGACGAGGGCCCCATGTTGCATGGCGTGTCCTTGGTGCCGTCCCACTCCTGGCTTTCTGTTTTGCCGCTCTCCATACTTTGGAGCCTACAACATCTATCATACGTGCGAATCAAGACGCCAAGGCAGTGCAACCAGCTATGCTGTCATATCTTGGCGACTTCTTCCCACTCCAAGTCATCGCCCTGGTAGAGAGTGCCCGGCGAGGCAACAGCATGGGGATTGCCGCTCTCTGGCCACTGTTTGGACTCACAGGGTACTGGGGAAGCACAGGATATGCCTTGCCGATGTACTTCTTCCTCCAATACATCTTATCCCCGCCAAGTCGGTACGCTGCCGCGGACAACCGCCTCGTGCCCACACATTACGCCAGATCCGCTGTGGCGGCGACCGTAGTGGGCTACTTTCTCCTCGTAGCCTTTGGCATGGGTACCCAACAGAACCATTCTGTGTATGCCAACTGGTATTTACTACCTGCCTGCACGGCTATCCTGCACCCTCTGCTTGCCTCGTTTCTCCCCAACAGTACCTTCGCCGACCGGGTTAAAAGCCCTCGTGCTGATATGAAGCACCTACTCGCATCTTATACCATTAGTGGCATCGTCAGTGGCTTGACGCATGTTTACTCCTCGTCGCTGTCACCGTGGGGCCTGAGCAAGATGTTGTCTATCGTAGCTCGGCTGCGGCAAGGAACCTTGATTCTAGAAGAGACATGGCCAGAGAAGCTCATTCAACGATATCATGTACTTGTGCTAGGGGGCGGGCTGTTCTGGGCCCTTCTCCATTTGTGGGACCTGAAAAGCACTGGAAGACTTAAGGCAGGTTGGCTCAAGGTTACTGTGGCGCTCGGTGGTATGCTTGTGACATTCGGACCTGGCACTGCATTAGTCTTGGGATGGGCATGGAGAGAGGTAGTGTTGGCTCGAAAGACTGCGCGTCATTAGAGAGTTCAACGATGATAGGTTGGAGGCCTGCATCGATGCCGACACAGACAGTATGAAAGCATGGTAGAATGTCATGTACTTGATCAAATATGGAAGCAATCCACGACATTCTTTCTCCGCGGCCGCTTGCGGGGTCGATATGCTGTGCAACCCCCCTCACCCCCGGGGCGTCAGGCCTAATCACGAGCAAGCGGACGTAGATACGTAAAGGTGGTGTGGTAATTGTCATAATGCATTCAGTCAAAGGTGTCATATCAGCCACAGAAAACCCAGACAAGATGGCTGCTGTCGACTGCGCCTGTCGGCTTCTGTCCGTCCGATTTTATCACTGGTCTTTTTCCTTAGAAGGGCGTCATCGCCTTCCATTCTATAGCTGATTGATAATCTTCCACTCGCTTGAAGCGAATGGCTGCAATTGTCTCTATCAAAGAAGTTCCAAGAAATTGGTGAGGTGGCTGCATTTATCTGTCTGTTCAGGACCCATCGTTAAGGTATCGTGAAGGCCGACGATAGAAACAGCGACTGAGCAGCGGGACGATGATATTGAAAGAAAGATAGTCGTCAGGCTGAAGTATACGGATCAAGTGACTGCATCATGTTCAATTGTATATATCAATGGACTAATATTTTGCTTGGGTTCACTTTCCGTTGTGAAAGAATTAAGCTGTATTCACTACATGTACGGAACTTGATTTCCGTTAGTGAGGGTGAATCTGAGATACCTAGGTTGGTTTTTTGTTGCTTTTACACTGCTGTTCCCCATCCCTACTGCTCTCTGCTCTTCCTACTGCTCTAGAATCTCCTTGACTTCCCCGAAGGCCTTGAGGATCTGATCCTTGGCTCCTGCCTCAGTCCACGCCTTCTTAGTGTCCTCGCCCAAGACGCCGTCGTTGATGGCGGCGAAGACGTCGGTGCCTGGGGCGAATGCGAGCTGGACCTTGGTCGGGGCGACCTTCATCTTCATGACGAGCTCCAGGCTCTCGCTGAGGTGCTTGTTGGCGCGCTCCCCGCCATGCGAGCCGTAGCTGATGACGGCCACAGGCTTCCCGGGCCACTCGTTGTACAGGTAGTCGATGGCGTTCTTGGTGGCCCCCGACATGCTACCGTTGTACTCGGGGATGACGAAGATGTAGCCCTGGAAGGATGCGATGGCCTCGCTCCATTTCTTGGAGTGATCCTTGGTGAACTGCTTCATGGCTGGGACCATGGCGGGCATGACGGGCTCATCAAAGATTGGGAGGTTGAAGTCGGCGATGGACAGAGGTTCGACCTCTATCTTGTCTTCCGGGCGTGACTTGATCACCTCATGAACCCATCCTGCAACGTCGGTTCCCACACGGGGGGTGCGGGTGCTGCCGGTGATAAGAGCGATTTTGGACATGGTAACTGATTATGGAGTGACTCTAGATACGAGAGAATGGCAAATGAAAATGTGTAGAGGATTGCTCTTGCCACTAGTTGAGGTCTATCAGAGTAGACAAAAAAATAGACTTAAATACCTCCTGCCCTCAAGCGAGGCGGGGAGGCGGGGATCTACCCACCTCTAGATTATGCGCGCGCGCGAGGTTGTAAAGGCGACGGACGAGTAAATGGAGCACCGGATGGATGGCAGATACCCTGCACGCGTGTTATACTATGCCTGTTGTGTGTGTAGACGAAGGATTGCACTAGTCCTATCTGGTCGCCCCCTTGCGTTGATAACAAATCCGCCCTCGCGTTGATGACAAATGGCCCCATTGGGTCGATTACTAACACATTTTTGTTTGATGGGTAGGGCGTTTCGAGTTACCCCGCCATGGGCAGGAGAAATGGTTTGAGAACGACGGCGGCTATTGTTGCTTCGAATCGGCTAGTTTGCCAATTCACTGGAAACGTATGTCGAGTCTGCCAAGGCGAAGACACTTGTCTCCCGCGTGAAACCAGCAACAATGGCTCGTCCCCATAGTACGCAAAGGTGCCAATCCTATCACCTTGGCGAGTCTCTAGTATTAATCTCGGAAGCTTTCTGAAATCACCACTTGGCTATTATCTGCAAGCTTCGCGAAAGTGTCTCCTGGGGTGTAGCAAGGCAACATAAGACATCTCTGATACGGAATGCCGAGTCACCAGGCTTGAACAAATTAATATTCATCGTTGCACAATGTTGGGCATTTCTTTCAACGAAGCGTCCCGGCACTCTGGCACCCGGCTTGCCATCAATTTTATCCTTACTATTGCCGCCCTTGCCTTGGTTCGAAGGATTGGGAAAATATGCTTGGCAAAGTACCGCCTGCAGGCACTTCCGTTGGTCAATGGGCACGGCCTATTCGAGTCTGACAAAAGATCTAAAGAAAACTTTTTCTTCAACGCCCAAAGCCTGTTAGATGATGGATACGCAAAGGTGAGTTACCCTAATCTACCAAGGTGTCAATTGAAAAGGGTAGGACGAGCTAAGCTGAGTTATGACCTTCTATAGTCCTCCAAGGCATTTCGGGTACAGACCGACAACTCGCAGGTGGTGGTGTTGGCACCTGAATGTGTAAGCGAGATTCGGAATGATAACCGTTTCAACTTCACTCAACTTCTGGCAGATGTAAGTTGTTGTCCAACGGACACAGAAGCGATGCAGGGAGGTGACGATTAGGGTGTTTAGGACTTTCTAGGGCATATCCCTGCCTTCACCAACTTTAGTCCGCACAATGGTCTGAACGATATGGCAAAAGAGGTCTTGACGAAAAAGCTTAACCCGTCTCTTGGTAAGACACACTTATTGCGTGTGAATGGGCCCAAGACTGACTGGTACGTATCTGGCAAGGCCTTGTTACCAAAGATGTTTCAACCGAGGCAACACTCGCGTTCCGCGACCATTGGACGGATGACACAGGTACGTATGCATGTGCCTCAAGATTGACAATCATGCTTCTAGTCTGACCGAGTGAAGAATGGCACTCGATCAATATGAAAGGAACTATCCTTGAGATTGTAGCACAGTTATCCTCGCGCGTCTTCCTTGGGCCAGAGCTCTGTCGGAACCCTGCCTGGCTACGAATCACAGTCGACTACACCACCAACCTGTTTTTCGGCGTTGAGGCGCTGAAGAAATGGCATAGCTTTCTCCGCCCTCTCGTGTGGCGCTTCGTTCCAGAAGTTCGAAAAGTACGCCAGCAGATCGAAGAGGCGATACGCCTCATCCAGCCTGTCGTCGATAAGAGGACTGCCGAGTCTCGATCTTCAGACGACTCCTCAAAGAAGGTAAAGTATACAGATGCCGTTCAATGGGCTCACGAATTGGCCGGCGATAGGCCGTACCATCCGGCATTACTGCAGCTCGGATTTTCACTGGCAGCGATTCATACGACAACCGACCAACTTTGCCAGACGCTTTACGACCTGTGTGCGCACCCAGAGTATATAGACCCTCTGAGACATGAGTTGGTTACTGTTCTGAAGGAGAGCGGCATGACTAAAGCTGGGCTATACAAACTCAAACTCATGGACAGTTTCATGAAAGAAAGTCAGCGATTAAAGCCTGGAGCTTCGCGTTAGTACCTCTCCACTCCTGTTTGATGTGACACTAATTTTCAATTTTAGTCTTGATGCGACGTTTAGTAATGGAGGATGTTACTCTTTCCAACGGCGTCTTTCTACCCCGGGGAGTACAGGTTGGCTTTCCTTTACGCTCGCATTTCGACCCGAAGGCCTACCCGGATCCCGATGTGTTTGACGGATACCGCTTTGCGAAGATGGCAGGTGACCCAGAGAGAGAGATATTGCGTCACTTTGTCTCGACAAGTCCTGAACATTTAGCCTTTGGGTTCGGGAAACATTCTTGTCCTGGGCGGTTCTTTGCAGCCATTGAAGTCAAGATTGCGCTCTCTCATATCCTGCTCAAGTATGATTTCAAGCTGGCAGAAGGGACCACACCCACTGCAATGAAGATGGGTTGGGCTTTAATTGCAGACCCAATGGCACATTTCATGATTAAGCGCCGCGAAGGCATTGACGAAAGTGTTCTCACTGCCTAGTTATCAACTACCTAGTTAGGTCCATCTAACCTTTCTTGAAATATAGAGTTAAGATTCAAAATACGAATTTTATGTTCAACATATATAGTCGTAAGTTGTGATTTAAACGTAAAGAAAATTATATATATGTATATGTATCTCATGCCTTAAAAGAGGAAGGTAGCTATGTAGTTTGATAGATCATCTAGAGTAGATTTAATATCGTTTAAATTGTAATCTAGGTAGAATCTAGAGAATATTATATAACCTTCTACGATGTCACTAACGGATAACTGGGCGAGGTCCGATTAGATGATGTCTGTGACTAAGGCTTGGTGCGGCTGTGTTAGGCTTATAGCGTTACTAAGATGACGAACACAACAGCAAGCGTCCGCCCGCACCCTTCTAAACAATAGTAGTTATCCGCGGTTCACCGTTAAATCAATTATCGTAGAAATTAGCTACATTCAGATAGGTTTCAGTTAAATAACAAAATATCTATTAAAAGAGTTAGTTAAACATAACTACGAGGTATAATAGAGAATAGATCTTACCTTTGTAGTTAAGTTAAAATCATATTTTGTACAAAAGTTTTATATAGTAGAAGCCTTCTTACTATTATTATAAAAATAAGCTTATTTAGAAAGTAGAAGAAAATATTATATTCGAATATTAGATTATTTCAACTAATTAAACATATTTTATAGCTTAAGAAAGTAAAGATTATATAATAGATGGGATATAACGTGCAGGATTAGTAAGCTAGAAAGATTAGTAAGCTAGGCACCCCACTAAATCTAACGCGACTCACTATATAATTACTATAATACTGTAATAATAACACTCCATATAGACCTCTTATAAAAGTAACATAAGTCTTACTATTACGTATTATTGTAATAATCAAAAATAGTCTTTCTATACTCTTATAAAACTATATAATATACTATAATAAATACTATAAATTTAAATTTAAGATACTAAGCTATAGTTAGATAGAGTCTTTATTAACTAAAAGATATTATCTATTAAAGAGTAGTCTCTTATATAATAAAGTCTAGCTTAAGACTAGAAAAGTTTTCTATTTTATATTATTAATATATAATANATAGTAGATACGTTACTTACTATATATAGCTAAAATCTATCTCTCTAGCCTATAAATAAAAACTAAATATTATTGTTACAAGTAACAAGAAGGATTCTCTCCTTGACAAGTGACGAGATGGCTGAAGGCCTATGGACGTCCACGTCAGAAGGTAATGATCATCGCGGGGCTAGGTCACGTGATGTGCCATCCCGCCAAGAGCAACCATCCAAGGGATGGCAGGACGCCT